CACACACACACACACACACACACACACCCCGACCCTTCTGCTTTGGCTCTGCGAGGTCTGCTGCAGCGTCCATCCTTGAGCCCACCCCTCCTCCCAGATGAGGCTGAGTCCTAAACTCGGAAAAGACTGGGATAATTAATACATCAGAGGAATAACTAAGTTTCTAGGCTAGGGACCAGGAGCAGTGTGGTTTCCCTTACTCCAGTCTGTAGCTGAGGTGCTGGCTCTCTTTCTGAGGGGCTTTCGCTTCTCTCCCCCGTTTTTGTCCACCTGGACCTCAAAGGTGTGTTGAAAGCTAGGCTGATAGGGCCTAGACCAGGACCACCCCTAGTCACACTGGTTTTTTTCAACCTTCCCTTAGGTGAGGTCTGTTCTTTCCATTCTGAGATCCCCCTTCCCCTCCAGAGCCTGATACACTAAAGACCCCTCCTACCGGCTCTCATCCAGGACGGGCCATGGCTGTCCAGTGGGTACATCTAGCTTACGTACCTGGAAGCATAGGAGGAATTCCTGCAAATTACATGGCATAGTCCTCATGCCCCTGAAGGTGGGGTGGAGGACCCTGAGGAAGGGGTGCATGTGAGAAAGACTGGCAACTGGGGTGAGGAGCCTGGCCATTAGAATCAGTCAGTTGGCAAAGAGTGAGTTCCACTTCCTGCACAAACTCAATGCCGCCCTGGAGACACGCTTCCCTCACACTGCCTCTCCCACAGCACAGCCATCTGAGAACACAGCTACGCCACGTTAATGGGCAGCATTCTCTCAGTGCATAGGGGTGGGCTAATAGCTTTCCATCTACTCATGTTCCCCCCTAGCTCTGGCTCGCTGCCTTTCCCTGATGGCCATCTTTGCCCAACACTGCTATTAGAAGTGAGAACATGCTGCCTGTTGTAATGGCAATTCAGCTGCTTGCTTCCCCCACTCAGGAAGGACTACTTGGATGCTGAGGGCAAGGGCGAGCAGTATGTGTCTACTTAGACAGCCTGGCACCGCTGTGGTCCCACCTACTGGGGCCCAGACTCCCACTGCTGGGCCAGTGCTGCCTCCTGCCTGGGACCTCATCTCACCTCTGAAGTGCAGCCAGTAGCACCTGGTCCTCCCTCTGAACCTAAAGGGCAGAGAGAGTTTTCCAGCCAGGGGAAAGGATGTGGTGTCTGAACAGACATACCGGCTCAGGGAGCAGCTCTTTGCCTCCTCCAGAGCGCAGCAGACATCCTGACTAGGCGTCTGTTCCTGACAGGTGGACACTGCATTACCCACCAGCCCACCAGCTCCTCCTGCACAGGAGGAGCTCAGGGCCAGGGCTTGGGGGCCTGGAGGGGGCTGGGCACGATCCTCTGAGGCTTGCTGTCTTCTCAGGTGTGCTGACATCACCCATTTACCTGTGTGCACCTCCCTTTCACCACCCTCGTGCACCTTTACTTGCTAGGCCCAAAGCAATAGTGTCTGTTTGTAGATCAACCAGATATAGCTGAGAGAAATGACACCAAGACAGAAAAGCAGAGAGGTTGCAGAGAGGTCTGTTCCTTTAAGGATCTTGCTTTTTGTCAAGGCCAGAGCCTTTCCTCATGGAAAGTCAAAACTCTTTCAGGCCCTCTTGATGACAGACTGAGGACCAAGTTGCAAAACCACACAGTGACACACTCAGGTCTAGAACCATCCCACATGGTCTGACAAGCAGTGACTCTCCCTCACTGTGGGGTGGCTGTCCTCTGCTCCCACCACAGACAGGGGCCCAGTCTCGTGAAAAGCACTCAGCCAGGAGCTCAGAAGCATGGGCTTCAGTCCCTGCTGTGCACCACCTTGCTATCTCACCTTGGATGCTTGTCCACCCTAGACCTCAGTTTTCCTTCTGTAGAGCTGGCTGTACAGGGGAGGGTGAAGGAGGGACTGGACTGGGTGACCCCTGGGGTTCCAAGCTCCCTGAGCAGTATAGGGCACAAGCTCGGCAAGAGACCAGCTGCCCTGTCCTGCCCCACCTGGTCCAAGCTGCCCTGGGCCGGGCAAGGTTCTGATTTTCTGTCTCTCTCTGGCCAGTGATGAGGACAACAAGCCCCTGCAGGGCAGCCAGACATCTCTGGATGGCACCATCAAGCAGCAGGAGAGTGACGACAGCCTGGTGGACTATGGCGAGGGTGGGGAGGGGCAGTTCAACGAAGACGGCTCCTTCATCGGCCAGTACACAGTCAGAAAGGACAAGGAAGAAACAGAGGGCAACGAAAGCTCAGAGGCCACATCACCCGTCAATGCCATCTACTCTCTGGCCTAATGGGGCCCACCGGGCACAAACACTACTTTGCAAGTGGGAGGAGGGGAGAGGGGGAGACAAAGCCACTGCAGACCCACCACAAAGCCACCACCGCTTTCAGGGACAAGGGTACAATATGGGGGTCTACCAAGCTGTGAGGACCAGAGACCACCCAGCCACCCAGAAGCCCCCTCCCAATGACCCCACCCCACCCCCGGGTGCCACCAGAGTGGGAGAGCTAGAGCCATGGCTGAGCTCAGCTGGAGGGAACCAGGCCCCTTGCCCAGTGTCACAGCCACCCTGAGCTTCCCACCACACTGCCTACTTTCGGCCTTGGCACACATGCTCACCCGTTGCTGTGGGTTGTGGTACTTTTCATTGTCTGTATTTTGCTTTGTGTATCTTCCCCTCCAGACCCATGTCTCCATTTTATTTTCCTTTTGAAGTGTCCCTGGAAAAGAAAGAAAAGGAGGATTCTCCCCCAGGAAACCACAAAGATAGGCATAAAGGATCGATCCGCAACAGAACGCGTAGGAAAGCTGTAGTATTCAAACCACCTCTGGGCCGATGTATTTCCGAAGGATGCCTTTCTCGCCATATGCCTCCCCTTGCTCCCAGCCCCTCCGCCTTGGCCTTGTCAGTTGCTGAGCTGGGCTTGGCTTCTTTCTGGAAAATGACAGTATTTTTGGCAGGGAGAAGGTGTACAGGCCTCCTTGCCTCTCTCTGGTTTGGTTGGGAAGTGAGTTTACCTCTTGTTCCTCCCCTTCCCCTTCCTCCAGAGTATCGAAGATGCGAGCTGCACTGACTTTGAAGAAGCCTGAGGAACAGGAGAGGACACTGATGAAAAAGGACTTCCACACCTGTAACTGTGTGCCTCATGCAGAAGAAAATCAGGTATCTGGTCCCCAGGGAACTATGCTCACCTCTAGAAAGAAGAAGGCTGAGTTTGGACTTCTTCCTTCCCATCAGTGAAAGCCAGGATGCAGGACCACGCCTACTATGTCCAGACTAGAGGGCGTCTACCCGCCTGGCCAGTACCCAGGCTGCTACCCTCAAGGAGATGGAACCCTGTGATGCAAACGTTGTGCTGGTGTGTTTGGAGGTGTTGAACACTGCTTCTCCTAACGTCTCTAGCAGATATCATCTCCTTGGTCAATTCTGTGCGACATGGAGACGTGTTTGACACGTTGTGTGGATGGGGACTGGCTGCCCCGAGACTGAGCTGGTGTGTCCTTTCATTAGGGTATATACATATCAGGGGTCCCTGAGGTGGCACTGTATGAACAGTGCTGTGATGCCCCCGCCTGGGAAGGACTCGATGCCCTTCGTATGCCTTATGCAGCTCTGATTTGTCCCTGGAGTGCCCAGGTTCCCAGCCCCTCCCTGTAAGCCTTGAAGCCTCCGGTGACTTATGTCTCAAGGAGAACAGGGCAGCCTATGCAAGTGTCCCGGCAGGACCAGAAGCAGCCACTCAACCCGTTGCCCCTAATGGAGACACTCGCAGACCTGCATTTCTCAGACTGAAGGTGCTGCCTTCATCCTGCCCACGAATCCATTTTTGAAACCAAAGGTACCTAGTCTCAGAGACAGAGAAAGAGGAAGATCTTGAGCCTAAGGGTAACCCTTTAGCTATGTCTGTAGCTTGAGTCAGTTTTGGGAGGGTGAAGCTGACCTCCAGAAATGGATCAGCTGTCACAGGCATAGCCTCCAATTTGAGCCTCCAGCTGCTGACCAGGGGGCCTGGGCAGGACCACACTGTATCCTTCAGTGACTTTGTTAAATCATAATTTGCCACATGTTTAAGCCGCAGAGATATTAGCAATGCTCACATCACTTAATAATCGTTCAGTTGAAGGTCAGGCCCATAGGCACACTCTGCGGATAAGAAAACGTGGGCCAGAACTGAGCTCACAAGGTTATTTGAACCTCAGAGTGTGCAGTGGTCATTTGGGCAAAGTCACAGCCGCAGGGCTGCTGGCTAAATGCCTGAGGGGCAGCTCTCACGGTGAAAGGGGACAGGGTAAACAGCAGGGAACTAGGGACTGGCTCAGGGGCTCCTCCCCTGGCTTTCTTCTATCACCTGCTTGGATGCAACTGGGCATTCCTGTGGCCGAGGTCCACTCTCCCTGAAGAGAATGTCAGGAAGTGTGCCTGTGAACTGAACTAAAGGACCGGCCTTTCCAGAAAACACGCTGGATCTCAGCAGAGTAATCAGTTTCTCAGGCACTCTCTCCATACTGCACTGCACACACTAGTGAACCCACTGCACTGAGAACAGTCTCCTAGGGTTGGAAAGGACAATTGGATGTCATCATAGCCATGAAAGGCTGCCACACAAACTGATACCCAGAAGGACTGCTTCTATCTGAAGGGTCTTGGGCAGAAGTAGGCCGCAGCCTGTCTTTGCACCTTGTCCCAGTATCCTGCCAGGCTCTATACCGTCCTTCTTTTATGAAGAAAACAGCTCCCTCGGGCTGTTCTGTGAGTGCTGAGAGCTGTCCCCCACCTCCACGTGATCATAGCCCTCTGGGCAGGAGCAAGTCCGGGGCTGAAGAACCAAGTTTTTCCCACACATAGATGGCAGAGAACAAACTCTGAGGTGCAGACTGCAGGATTCAGAAGGCAGTCCCTTCCAGGAAGAGGAACCCATCTTCCATGGAGCCCATGCCAGAATCCACTGCAGCTCAGTAGAAAAGCAGTATTTCCCAGCACTTCCTGCCAGCTGGGTCTCAAGCAACCACCCCAAAACATACCAACAGCAATGCCAGGATTGGACGATACCACTGGTGCTTCAGCCTGTCTAGCTGGGAGGGAAGAAGGATGGGTTATTTTGCAGCAACTCTAGAAGCTTCATTAACTGGACTACAACCCTACCAATGTGCTCAGTCATAAGAGCTGTGGCTTTTCTCTTATTTGCCCATTCATTCATTCATTCATTCAGCAAATACTCTTTGAACATCTAGTCTGAACTAAGGCCTGACCCTGAATACCATGGTGAGTGAGTCAGGTGTGGTCCCTCCCCTCATGGGCTGACAGTCCTGAAACTGAGCCTTAGGACACCGTGGCCATTGAGTTGGGAGCATTCTGCCTCCATTGCCTAAGCTTCTCATGGCTGCAAGCTCAAAGGGAGAGGATTCCAAGGGAGAACTTGGTCCATCTGGTCCTCAAGGCTGGGCAGGATAGGGCAGTCATGAACTGTGGATGGAGTTGAGGAATGGTCCTGCTTCCTGAGCCTCTGCTGTGCCCTGTGGGGCAAGCTGCTTAACCTGTGTGTATTTTTATACCTCTGTCTCCACCATTCAGTCCATCCTTTGAATACCTCTCTCCACAGAGGGGCATGAGCCCATCTGAAGGAGCAGGGAGCTGGGGTTTGGGAAGTACATCACCGCATATCAGGGGTCAGCCACCTCCCACCCTGCTTGGGTCATGGCAAGTGGGACCCCCTCTTTCCTCACCTTGCTTTTGCAGAGTTGGTTGAATTTAAGCTCAAGGGAAAGCCAGACCAGCTCCCTTGCCCTGAGAGGTTGGAGACATCTGGTCCACCACTTCCTGGCACGTTCCGAGGTCTGGAGAAGTGATCACACATCTGAAAGTCAGCTAGTGCCAACACTGTTTGTCCTGCGAGGTGCATCCACAACCTAGGCCCAGATAGTGTGTTCATGGTTTCTCTGACCACAGTTAGCCTGGGGAAGGGGGTGGAACAGATTTGAGGATGTCTGTGGGTCTTCGGCTAATGGGCAAGCTCCCCTGCTACATCCAGCGCCCATGTGGGTGCATAAACATACGTCACACCGCAGGCCTGTTGCAGAGCAGTGCTTCCAGGGGTAGCAATTCAGATGATGAAGTTGTCTAGAAGAGGGCCAGTCCATATCCAGACTGTGTGGATGAGATGCAGAGGGCTGTGTGTGAGTGCTCTGTGCAAACTGGAGGAGGGGGAGAGGCTACCCAGGTTGCGCCCTATTCAAGAGTCTGATCCAGAGGAGAGGGGTTCCTTCCTCCCAGGAACAGCGTGGGCAGTGGAACTTTCTGGCTCCACTTGGAGCCGGGTCAAGTCTCAGGGCATCACAGACAGCCCATTTGATGGCAGGAGCAGGGATTTAACACATTTTGGTCTCCGTGTTTGTGAGGCTGCTTCACCAATCCTCTGAAAGATGAAGCTCCGCAGGCTTTCCATCAGCTGGGGCTGCTGCAAGGGAATCTTCTCAGTGGGAGTGCAGCAGGTTGCTGGGGTGTTGGCACAGGGCACTGCTCCCCACTCATGACCCCATGGTATAGAGTGGCTTCTCGCCTGGTCACCACTCCAGCCAGCCCCTGACAAACACAAGCCCATGGTTGAAACCTAGACCCATGAGAAATGGTCCTGCTTCCTGTGAAACCTAGACCCATGGTTGTGGTTAGGTCCACCTGGTTAGTTAGCAAAGCATACTGCTTGAGCTTTGCATGGTAGCTAGGAATAGCACAGAGGAGGCTCCCGGTTTTTTTTTTTTTAAAGAGAGGGGACTCAAATCCATGAGGAAAAGAGCTTGAAATGTCTGAAGACTCGGTACACTGGGAGACACCAAACAGTGTCGTAAGCCTCACCTGAAACCAGTGCTCCTCTTACCAGTATACTAGTATTAAATGGATGTTCCATAATGATCAGGATGAAAACAGGTACAAAGACATCTAGCTAAGGACAGAATCAGATTGCTGCATGTGAAGGAATCACAGAGCTGATGCTATTGAAACGATTTATGGCACAGACGGGCATGTGAAAATCCAGGGAGGTTAAGGGACTTGCTCAAGATCACATAGCTGGCAAATTAAGGTAAGCTTAGGGCTTGAACTTGGACCTTCTGACTCCCTGTCCAGTGTTCTTTCATCTCACCATAGCTGCCTCCTTTAAAACAGAGGTATTACTCAAGATCTGTCCTGGTCACCCTCTCGTACCTCTTTGCCACTTCTCTCACATCCCCCACATCCCTCCCAAAATTAAAAACAAAAAGGATTTTTCTGAGTCCGAGGACAGTCTGTCCGTGACAGCCTGTGGTTAACCCAGCTGTGCAGTGAAGGCAGACCCAGGCCAGTGGAATAGAATGAGGAGCTAATGGGTGTTTGTTACTGTGAAACCTATACCGTATCCCCTTTGTAGCACATGGGACCTTCAGCATGCTGTCTTCCCATATTCCTCGGAAGTAAGGGCATGGAGGGGGTTTCTGTCCATTCTGCCCTTGGCTGCAGGGTGCAGAGGGGCAGCGGAGCCCATACAAACCCATCACCCTGGGATTTGCTGGGTTGGAGTTCAGCAGATGCAAAGACTTCAGTGAAGCAATAAACACAAAAGTCTGGGAGAAAATATCCAGAATTTTGTGCATTACTCTGTTTCTTTTTCCAAAATGACGCAGATCAGGTGCCCCTGGCCTGCTCCTTTTCTGATTCTCAACTGCAATGTCCTCAGTCAGTGTTGTCCCTCTGCCCGGATCTCCAGCTTTTTGCCAACTTCTTCACACTCCTCTTGAACTGAGCATCAGTCGCCTGTGACATGGCCACCTTCTATCCTGCTCCTACCCCACACCCACGCTGGACCCCGGAGGGCCTCTTGCCCTACCCACATCCCAACACACACATACACACGTTTTCCCACCAGCCATCCCAATTTGTTCTTTTCCACGGGGAAATTTTTTTCCTCCAGTGCCTGCTTCCCTTCCCACATGCCCACACATCCACAAATTGGTCCGATCTTTTTTCCATTGGTTAAACATTTAACTCTCCACGGCAGACCTTGTTTTAACCCCTCTCACATCATGTTCATTCCTTTCTTTGGCGAGTTATTTTGCATTAACCAACTTTGTCAGTGACAGATGCGTATCTGAGGGTGTCATGTGCGACCTTCAGCAGGGAAGACTTCTGGGCTGTGGAGGACCGTCTAATACATGGACTTATAAACTGACTGCATGAGCAATGAAAAGGCCAAATTATTCAGAATTTTTTTTTGAATCACTGTAAAAAAAACTGATTTCTTTTGTATAGAGAACACTAAACGTATAATAAAAGTTGTTCAAAATGGACTCTGGTCATGTGATTTGTTCATTTTCCTTGATGGGTGGGAAGGGGTGTCAAAGGGTTAATGACAGAAGTGAATCAAATGACTTTTCACTGGCACCAGACAGTGTACTCTTACAGAATTCAAGCCAGGCTTGGTGGCTCAGCCTGTAATCCCGCACCTTTGGGAGGCTGAGGTGAGTGGATTGCCGAGCCCGCGGGTTCGAGACCCACCCGGGCAACTTGGCGAGACCTCATCTCTACAATAAATCAAAAATTAGCTGTGTGTGGTAGCACGCGCCTGTAGTTACAGCTACTCGGAAGGCTGAGGCGGAAGGATCGCCGGAGCCTAGCAGGTCGAGACTGCGGTGGCTGGGAATGGCCACTGCACTCCAGTCTGGGCGACCGAGTGAGACTCCAACTCAAAAAAAAAAAAGAGAGAGAGAATTCTGCCATACCCTCCCCCATCTAGAAGTTGGTCTTATTCTGGAAAACTCAGTTGCACAATTTGTGTTTTAACATAGAGTAATGGCTGGATGTGGTGGCTGACACGTGTCATCCTAGCACTTTGGGAGACTGAGGCAGGAGGATCACTTGAGGTCATGAGTTTGAGATCAGACTGGCCAACATAGCAAGACCCCTACTCTACAAAAAAAATTTACAAATGAGCCAGGTTTAGTGGCACATCCTGTAGTCATAGCTACTATGGAGGACAAGGCAAGAGAATCCCTGAGCCAGGAGTTTGAGGCTGCCTTGAGCTAAAAATTCACCACCACACTCCAGGCTGGGCGACAGAGCAAGACCCTGACTAAAATAAATGAATAAATAAAAATTTTAAAAAATTAAAAACAGTGACTTTTAATTTAAATATAAATTTGAAAATAGTGTAATGTATACAATCTGATTAAGCATAATGTGTGTGCACATGCATCATTTTAAAAGTACTATGCTGGAGAGTTGGGAGAAGGAGAGAAATGTGCAATGATGCCCTGTCCCCTATTCCCTCCTCGTTCTGCACTCCTTGTCCTTAGGTAGGAGCACATTAGCATATGCCCAGCATTGTGCCTGGCACAAAATAGACATTTCATATTGTTGAAAGAATGTATAAAATCGCTTACTACGAACCAAAAATGTCCTTTCAACAGACTCAATGGAATCTTAACCAACAACCAAATAAAAGAAAAGAGACAGAGAGGGCTGTGTGGACTGAGAACCAATGGTGATGTCCACCATGCTTCCTTGAGATGCTGTCCTGTAGCTGTGCTAATTCCCACTGAGGAGTAGCCAAAGAGCATCACCCAGGCAGGATAAGTCGTGAGGGAACCCCAGACATTGTAACCTCCCTCCCGAGGGGGTTGGACAGAGGGCTGGCTGGGAGATGGTTCTGGTCTTGTGGAAAGATCACTGATGGCTGGGCGCAGTGACTCGAGCCTGTAATCCCAGCATTTTGGGAGGCCGAGGTGAGGGGATTGCCTGAGCCCACAGGTTTGAGAACAGCCTGGACAACTTGACAAGACTTCATCTCTACAATAAATCAAAAAATTAGCAGGGCATGATAGCGCACACCTGTAGTTCTGGTTACTTGGAAGGCCGAGGCAGAAGGATTGCCTGAGCCCAGTATGTCTCAATGCTGGAGTGGCAGTGAGTGTCCCACTGCACCCCAGTCTGAGCGGAGGGAGACTCCAACTCCAAAAAAAAAAAAGATCATTGATAGTTTATAGGCATAGGCAGTAATGGGAAATTAGGGCAAAAGAATTCCCCTGAAAATACAGACTCAACTCTCTTAATGTGAATGAATAATGAATGAATGAATGAGACAGCCATTCCTCTGAAAGAAGTGGCTAGGTGAATTAATGGTTTTCATACCTTCCTCCTTGGATATTGGATACTTGGATACTTATTTTTTTTGAGTCAGGGTCTCACTCTGTCCCCTAGGCTGGAGTGCAATGACATGATCACAGCTCACCGCAGTCTCAACCTCCTGGGCTCAGCAGTCCTTCCACTTCAGCCTTCTGAGTAGCTGGGATTACAGGTGTGTGCTACCATGCCCAGCTAATTTTTTTTTTTTTTTTGGTATTTTTGTAGAGACAAGGTCTCACTACATTGCCTAGGCTGATCTTGAATTCCTGGCCTCAAGCGATCCTCCCGCCTCGGCCTCCCAAAATGCTGGGATTACAGGCATGAGCCACTGTGTCTGGCCTGGGTGTGACATTTGAGGGTGATCCAGTGGCCTAGATTTTAGAAAAGGAGCCCTCACTCAAAGAGACAGAAATGAAGAGATGAAGTGAGCATCTTGTTTGAAGAAAACCAACCTCAATTCAACTGAGGCCAGACAAAGCGACTGCCTTTCGCCAGAGCTCCAGGGACCACCCCCCCTCAGAATATCTGTCATCCCTGTCTCCTGAAGGCTGTGCCTCCCAACCCATTAGAAATGCTAATCTCCAGCTTTGAGTTGGATTAACATACACAGTGGGGAGGGGACAAGACATCTTCCAATCTTTATTAAGAATGAAGACTGTACTCCCTCTTGCCCAGCTGCCCACAAAGGGCTAGAATCTGGGAATTCATTATAGTGCTTTTAATCAAGGCAGCCTCTACTGCCCAGTATATTAGGTGGAGAAAGGTGGGGGGGGAGGCTCATTTCGGCATTCCCCTCCCCATTTAATGCATCAGAGCCCATTTGTTTGATGTCAGTTCCTGCTGGAACACGGACCAGGCAGTGGGCCTCAGAGCAATTTGGAGCCACAGCTGCGGCCCGACAGCCCAGCCTACAGCCCCCACTCCCAGCCCCGCCCCAGAACTTGCTGTTGATTAGCCCTAGACCCCATCACAGAGAAAAAATGGCTTTGTGTAGCCCAAGACTCGGCTGTCTGATAGGATTCACACACAGAACCTCAACCCTGACTTGGGCTCACTAGGAACTCACCCATCACTGACCCAAACCGGAATTCTGACTGGTCAGCTTCACATAGAGACCACTGCAGAGAGCAAGCTGCAGCTAGAGGACAGGGAGTTATTTCACACTGAAACAAACACACACAATTATATGTTATATGTAACATTTGTAACAATTGCCCTCTAAAAAGGATGGATCCTATTAAATGGAGGGTCCAGAATTAATCTGGGCAGAGCTCGCAGAGAGCAGCTGGGGAGAGTCTTGTATAATAGGGGGAAATTTTGGAACTCCAGGGTAATCCGGGGGTGGGGGGGCAGAGGAGGAGCAGAGACAGGCAGAAGGAAGATTACAGTAGCGGTCCTCAAAGTGTGGTTCCTAGAGCAGCAGTGTCAGGACCACCTGAGAACTTGTACAAATGCAAGTTCTTGATCCCCACCCCAGACCTACTGTATTAGAAACTCTGGGATCTGTGCTTTAACAACCCCTCCAGGTGATTCTGGTACAGGCTAAGGCTTGAAGACCCCGAGACCAGAGGGACGCAAGGAGAAAGCTGCGTACTCCTGGCTGTGTCCCTTAAACTGGCAGTCATGCCAACTCCTTCATGAATTTGCTTCCTACGAGTGGATGTTTTATGCAAACTAGCAAAGTTGGTGGATTACATCCAAATCCGTGCAGGGTAAAGCAGAGACCCCATGAGAATATAGGGGTCAGGGCGCAAGCCCCCAGGAATTAGCAAAAATTCGGAGTGTAGGGCCTTGGACTTTCACAGACCATGGAATTGGCAGGGAACTGAGCTGTTTGTACGCTGATGTTGAAGAGACAAGAGGACACCAGATGGTATTTGGGTCACAACACATTTACATTTAAGTGACTTAAGAGGAGAAAGGGACTAATATTGTTGACACCAACTGCATTCAGCATAGTGATGTGCACTTTATGCAAATTGCCTCTTCGCCTGCACATCAGCCAGGAGGCAGGTAGCTTTATATCCTGTAACACATGAGGAAACCGTGACTCCAAAGGGCTGAATAATTTGCCGAGGGTAAATGACAAAGCCAGAACTAACTGCCAGGTTGGTCTGACTCAAAAACCTCAGCTTTCACGACTACAGTTGGAGTATGAATGGGCCTTCCTATAAGCCCTATGAAGAATTAGCCTTGGAATCTGCACTTCAAAGACATCACACCAGGGCAGCCCCTACCAACTCTTCAACATGTCGGGCAACCATTCGCCCCCTGCAGGATGTGCAGGTTCCTGACTCAGCTCCAGAACAGTCCAGGAGAGGGTTGTGGGTGCCTTATGGCTTGTGGTCATGGGATGAAAGGACAGCAAAGTAAAAAGTGCTTGACTTTCTCCAAGTCTGCCTTGAGTACCAAGTAAGAGCCAGGACTGCACAGATAGGTCAGGGCTAGCTGAATGACCTCAGACAAGTTACTCAACCTCTCTTAGCCTGAGTCTCCTAGTCTATAAAACAGGATTGTCATTGTCACTACCTCACAGGTTGCTGTAGGATCAAATCAGTTAAAATGTGAAAAGCTCCGCCACTGCTTTGTTAAACTCTAGTCATGTCCACGTGGCTTTTTGCCACGTTTGCCATGTTTCCTAGCTTTGGTCCCCTCCCCTACGTTGGGGAGGTAAATCTCTTCTCTCTCTCTCTCTCTCTCTCTCCCTGTCTCTCTCTCTCTCTCTCTCCCTCCCTCCCTCCCTCCCTCCCTCTCTCCCTCTCTCTCTAATTTATTTTCTAAATAAACTATATTTTCCAATCTAAAAAAAAAGTGAAAAGCTCTAAGAACAGTGTGTGAGTTACAGTCATAGTAAGTGCTATATAATACTCTGTTAAATTTAAATAAATGAATGAACCACCTTACACCTTCCCCTCTTGTCTACCAGAATGTTCTTCTAGTCTCTACTTCCTTCAAAAATTCTCCTGATCCTTCAAAGCAGGCTCGAATCCCATCTTTTGTAACCACCTTGGTCTCTCCCCTGGGAGCTTTTCTCAGCCTTCTTGCTCCTCCACCCTTGACCTTCAGCATAACCTCCTGGTATTGGAGAGAGTTGCCTTTCCTATGCCTAGCCAGGCTGTAAGCCCCTGGAAGGCAGGGCCAGTGCTTCATGTCTCTTGTAACTTTG